CACTAGACGGACTCGCAATTGGGTGACAAACAGTACTCCACGAGTAGTCCTTAATGGCTCTAAGTCTATATGGAGGGAAGTAAGCAGTGGGGTGCCACAAGGTTCCATCTTAGGCCCAGTACTCTTCAATATCTTCATTAACGACTTAGATGAGGGAATAGAAGAGGAAGTTACCAAATTTGCAGATGATACTAAGCTGGCAGGAATAGCTAACAGCCAAGAAGATAGGCTCAAGATCCAGATGGATCTTCACAGACTATAACACTGAGCCATATCTAACAAAATGAAATTCAATGTAGAGAAAAGTAAAGTCCTACACTTAGGCAAGAAAAATAAAAAGGACACATATAAACTGGGTAAATATGAGCCAGCAGTGTGCAGCAGCAGCCAAAAAAGCTAATGCAATCCTAAGTTGTAATAACAGAGGGATACAATCAAGATCAAGTGAGGTATTAATACCACTCTATGAAGCTTTAGTAAGACCACACCCAGAGTACTGCATCCAGTTTTGTTCACCACATTATAAAAAAGATGTTGAGACTCTAGAAAAAGTACAGAGAAGAGCAACCAGGATAATTAGGGGACTGGAGACTAAAACATATGAAGAATGGTTGCATGGCTAGCCTAGTAAAGAGAAGGACCAGGGGAGACATGATAGCAGTCTTCCAATATTTGAGGGGCTGCCACAGGGAGGAAGGGGTCAAGCTATTTTCTAAAGCACCTGTAGGCCAGACAAGGAATAATGGATGGAAACTGAACAAGGAGAGATTTAACCTGCAAATAAGGAGAAACTTTCTGACAGTGAGAACAATCAACCAATGGAACACCTTGCCATCAGAAGTTGTGGGAGCGCCATCACTTGAGACTTTCAAGAAGAGATTGGACTGCCATCTGTCAGAAATGGTGTAGGGTCTCCCGCTTGGGTGGGGGGTTGGACTAGATGACCTACCAGGTCCCTTCCAACTCTGATTATCTGCTAATCTGTTAAACCTGTTTGAACATTAAGACTCAAATGGAGGGCAAACATAATACATTTTAGAAATTTTTATTGGATTGATTTGATTGATTTGAGAGGTGTCCTTGTAGATACCCAGCTGGGTACTATATGGCATCAGATCCAAAACTCTGGCTTTAAATAACTTAATTGCTGCTGAGATGTAGTTGTTGCCATTTTGACTTGCATATTTGATAATTGCAAGGGATACTTTTTGCGCTCTTACATTAAGTTCACTCATTTGATCGGTCCAGTAACTGGAAGATTGAAAATAAACACATAGGGACTTGTGGTTTGCAGGGCTTCAGCGGCAGGCAGGAATCCGTGATCGTGCACGGTTTCTGCCTGGGCTCGCCGCTGGAGCGTCCTGAGCCACTCGGCTTCGGGGCTAAGCCACCCTGTAGAGGTGTGCAAAGAGGGGGGGAGATCCCAGCAGGGTCGAGGGAAGCCGCATCTTTCCTCCCCAGGTGGCTAAACTCCCTTTCCCGAAGGCGATAAGAGCGAAGGTCAGAAATAGCCGCCTCAAAGAAGCACTCAGCCGGAAAAGAAAGTGCAGGAGGAAGTTAAGAAGTGAAAGTTTTGGCTGACAGGGATAAGAAGCAACAACTGATACCCTGGATTTTAAATCTTATAAAAGATACATCGTTCCCAAAGAAGATTCGGAAGCAGCGAATAAAAGTGAAAAGGGAAAGTTTTTTTTCTCACTCTCCTTCCTTATGTTGACAGCAGATGAATGAGAAATCGGAAAAATCCGCTTTGGCACCATCAGGTAATTAAACTGGATTAAATGCCAAGGGGACAATAAAGATTTCTGAACACTTAAAAAACTTCTCTTTTTTTGCTGTAAACGGGAAGGAAGAGGAAAAGAATAAGAGCAAGATTTGGCTTGAGGAGACTGCTTGGAATTTAAAAGAATCTAAAGTTAAATCGTAACAAGACTTGTAAAAGATACATTTTAACTGGAACTCTGTAACTAACCAGGAAGTAACCCCAGGAAGAGATAGTGAAAAAAGAAGAAAGTGTTAAATGAAACAGCTTGTGTGTATTTGGATTGTTTGGTGACTTTGGGACTTATGGAAATTATATTTGAATGGTTAAAAACAATTGGGTGGTTGTTTAAATTTTTTTTACAATGGCATCACTTGTGGATGAACTGAAAAATGGAATTCAAAAAAATGTAAAGAAGAGGAACAAGACAGGAGGGTATCTGGGGAAGAAAGGGGAAAGGTGGGGAAAGAGAATGGAGAATTTAAGACCTAAAAAAACAACCAAAAATGGGAAAAATAAGGTGAAAAGTGGATATAATGTCAGAAAGCAACAGAAAAGGGGAACACAGAAGAGGGAAATAGAGGTGGAGAGACAAGGGGGTAAAAAAGTTAGAGTGAAGAAACAAGGGAGGAAGGAAGGGAAGAGAAGTTACAAAGATTTGGAGCAAGATGTAAAGAAACAGGACTTATTTCGAGATAATGGGTAAAAATATAACTGAAAATGAGATTCTGCAAAGGTACATAAGATTGTATTGTTATACTTGTATTAGAAATAATGTTAGAAAATTGGAACAATATATGATTAAAAAATGGGATAAAATACTTAACACAATTTAATGAAACTTTTTTGAACAAAATAAATGAATTGAAATAAATGAGAGAATTGAATTAGGAAGAAATGGGAACATTTTAATTACACAATGTTTTAAAATATAAGTGAAATGGGGGGGGAAGTAACTATACAAAATTTATAAGTGTTCCCATAGAAGCATGATACTTATTTGAAAAATAATGTGTAAAATGTTTAAGATTTAAATGAATATTAATTTTAATGATAGAGTTGAACTGGCATGGATTGTTGTTTTGATTATATTATATATCTACAATTTATTTTTTTCTTAAAATATAATGTGTAGCTTTAGAATGTACTAAGCAGAATCTGAATGAAAGTTATGTATTATATTAAGTGTTATAAATTTAGGGGAAAGATACAAAGGCATCATACTCCAATCAGTGATTACAGGAGAAATTTTGTTTTAATGAGAAAAGATAATAGACAGCTGAAACAGGACAGACAAAGGATATAAGTATAATGATTTAAATTGAGGTGAAATAAATAAAATAGAATTAAGAGAATTAAAAGAGGGGAGAAGCTATATGGAAAATGTAGAATGGTAATAAGATATGGAACGGTATATAAAAATGAGCATGAACTTGAATTTGTGTCTGTACGAAAAGATGTAATCCGGGATCAAGCTGCTTTCAAAAAAGATGTTTTATGTTTTCATGTTTTGTGTTTTGTTTGTTTATGTCTGTTTTTTAAAAATCAATAAAAATTTTGGGAAAAAAAAGAAAATAAACATAGATATTTGAAAGTTTAAGTTGCTTAATAAGTTGTCTGTTGATCTACCAGATTGCTGCAAACTTAAAGCACTTTCTTGAAAGTACTAAAACATTGTTTTAGAATAATTATTTTCAAGGAGTTCTCTGGTGCAATAGAATGACAAAGAGTTATAAATATAATTATTTTCAAGGAGTTCCCTGGAGCAATAGAATGATATGGTACATACCCATAAGTTACAGACATAATAGACACAACATCAGCATATAGGAGAAGAGGGCTAGCCAAAACAAAGCATAATATTTGGAACCACAACTTCTAATCTGATAGAACCAATCAGTGCAATCTCCCTGCCTTTGGGGTTTATTCCTAGTGGGTTTTTTTTTAACATTTCACATGCCCCACACAGTATATTTTTCAGCCTGGCTTGGGATTGATATCTTACCCATACAGTTGTTCTCCCTCATGAAAATCACATCTGAATAATAAAATACATTACAGGTAGTCTTCAATTTACAACTACAATTGGAACTAGAACTTCCATTGCTAAATGAAGTGGTTGCTAAATAAGTCATGCCTCCTTCTATGACCTTTTTATCACAATCACTACAATTATTAAGTGAATTGCATCATTTAGTAAATCCAACTTCTCTTCTTGATTTTGCTTGTGGGAAGCTGGCTTAGGAGATTGCAAATGGCAATCCTGTGACCCAGGGGTACCGTAATTGATATAAATACATGCCAGTTGTCAAGCTCCTGAATTTTGACTGAAGAGATGCTGCAGATGTTGTATGTGCAAGAACTTGTCATAAGCAACTTTTTTAGCATCTATGTAACTTTGAATGAGCACTAAATGAATGGTTGTAAGTTGAGAATGATCTCTGGTTTATACATTGTATATATACTTTATACACAATGGTGAGCAGATTTTATACTACTTACTGTTAGAAAACCTGGTTCTTCTCTGACGATGGGATGACCAGTCTTCTTTGAAGAACATTGCAATATTTGAGCAATACTATAGCTACAATTTATGGAAGCCATTTGATACTCTCTTCCTATTATTGATTGCTTCAGCCTGATCTTACACTTTTCTTTTTAAAATAAATATATATTGTAATCTGCTTTATTGGATGTATTTTAATTACTCCTCTTGGAATGCAAATAGATTTTCAAATTTCAAATTATAACCCTTTAAAGAGATTTCAAAGCTCTAGCTGAATAATAATTTTGGAAAATTAGTTGTTTATAAGAATGTTGGCCTCTTTTACCAAGCTCATAAAGGGTGATAATAACTCTGATCTATTCCATTCTATATCATATGCACATTGTGTCAGTTTCTCTTTTCTAACTGACAAGGCAGCTGTTTTAATAAAATATAGTGAAATTTGTATAATTCCTTTTTTTTCACTTGACAAACACTTTCTCAACCCTTTTCAAGGAAGTAGAACTCTACAATAGCATAACTTAACTACTTTTGGAGGACAAAAATGATTCTTTTTAATTTTTCTTTCTTTCAAAATGATCCTTGTTATTTTAAAAATATAATGGCAAAATCTTAGAAATGTTTCTTTCTTTCTCAAGTACATTGTCTGTAAATATGATTCTTGATATTTCATTTTTCATAATTTTATTCTCAGCAACTTTCTTGTCTTCTCCTTTTCTTTGCTAAACGCAGGGGATTATTATTGCAGGAGAACAACAGGTTTTCAGAAGCACTGCATTATTATAAATTGGCAATTGGAAGCAGACCTACTTTAGCCTGTAAGTAAAGTTGCATGCTTGTTATATTTAATACACTGTTCCTTCTCATTTGTGTTGTATTATAAATAAAACTATTACAAAGAAAATCTATAAGTTTTAATTCTGTTAAATGTGAGCAGATGTTTCTGCATGGTTCCAATATATTTAATAACACCTGGACCATCCTTACTGTAATGTAAAGATGCTGTACTATAGTAAAATAGTTGATCTTGAATGTAAATCCAAGGGCTTGGTACTATTTATTTTATTGTTAGGCAAACATATGTTTCCAGAGTAACATGTTTAATTTGGATTTGAGATGAAAGAAGCTGAAATATGCTCAAATTTATGGCAGTAAGGAAAGTGAGCTGTTTGATAGAGAGGTCACATATTTAAGAAGCAATTCAGGGTTCTGGGCCACTTCAAGTAAGTCTGGTAAAAGACTTCTGTTATTTACTTTATGTGATTACCAACCTTTTAGTAAGAAGATCAGTAGCTAAATCAGGATATTAGATTATAGGTGTAGAGCAGAGGTGTCAAACTTATTCTTTCACAGCATTGTCACCTGATGTATCATGACTTTTTTCCCCTTCGCTAAACCGGTTATGGATGTGGCCAGCACATGATGCATCCGGCCTATGGGCCACGAGTTTGACAGCCCTGGTATAGAGAAATAGAACATTCATGCTACATATCATGTTAATCCCTTGTATATATGCTTGCATGTGGAATCTTCTAATATGTGAAAGTCCTGTGAGTGAATGAGGAATCTCTCAAAATTCTCTTTGAAAAATTAAAGCCTGTGACTTCTGAAACATAAATATAGTACTTAACCAACTTTAATTGGTACTTGTTCAAGTATAAATGTAAATTGATGAGAGTGTCTAACATTTCCTTCTCTAGAGAAAGCTGAAGATGATACATACAAGCAATAAAGCAATTTTAGTTACTCTGCCATCTTCCTAGATCCAAAAGGATTAAATTTCCATAAGATTACCTTGTTCAGCAGTCATTGTTTCTACTGAAATTACCAACTCTCAAATCTAATGAATTGGGGTATTTTACCTCTTTTTATGATTATGACAAAACTTCTGAAGAACCATTAAAGAGGAAATCACCTTGGCTGACAATTCAATTAATTCTAATGAAATTCCAGTTTTAATGTTTTGTTGTGATGGAACTCATTTTTTCTTTAATTAGCAATCTGTTTCCTATGGCAGTTATTAAAGACATCAATATCTTATAAAGAAAGTCTTGAATTGCTGTAGAATTGGTATGGATAATCTATGACTTTAATGAAAGATAATTCAATTATAGCAAGCTTAAAAAATGAATCTGGACCAATCTAGATTTGAAGCAACTGTCAACCTATAATTATCTATTTTTCTGGTTTTAAATAACTTCAAATATAAAAAGAGTGTGTATGAATGTACAATAGCTACATTTCTCTTTCTTTTTTTCAGCTGCTTATTTAAATACTGGCATCATCTTAATGAATCAAGGCAAGGCTGAGGATGCCAAGAAGACATTTTTGAAGTGTTCAGAGATTCCTGATGAAAACCTAAAAGATCCTCATGCTCATAAGAGTTCTGTTACCAGCTGCCTTTATAACCTAGGGAAACTTTACCATGAACAAGGACAATATGAGGTAAAATTTTACAAAAACATAGCAGCCATCTTATAACCTTAATATAATTGTGTTGTTTTTTAGCAGCCTCTACTTCTACATTAGAATTAGCTATTGGCTGTCTGGGAGTTGGGTAGTATATAAATTGAATAAATTATTATCATGGTTCCTTCATACAGTCAGCCAGATGTTTAGACTGAATTAAAAATCCACTTATCAATTCCTTCCCAAGGATCTGCAGTAGGCAGGTGTTATTGTTAGATAGTGTTAAAGGTATCATCTCAGGATGTAAACTGCTCCAATTAAAGCTGCCTTTTGCAATTGATTCATGGTGATTTTGTCAATGCCAATACTGTTCAAGTAGTGCTCCAGATATTTTGGGATTTCAACCAAGGTACCTAGAACTATTGGTATTAAAGATTGAATCACAGTGTCAAACATAGTATCTACATCTTATATTTTAGACAGTAAAGAAAACATGAGTTCTGACAAGTTTTTCTTAATACATTTAGAATCTAACAATTTATGTCTTTTTCTAGGTTATTACTCAGTATGATGACTGATAGAGTCGAGTACTAGTGAGATGGTAGCAGCTATACTTTATGAACTAGTTTACTAGGAAAACATAGATATTATAGTATATGCTGCAATAGTAATTTATTCATTAGCAGTTATCCTTTTGGAAATGATATACTGTATGGACATGAAAATAATGGCATTTTCTGATATGGTTTAATGTACTTTTTTCCTCTAGTGAAACAAAAAGAAAGTTCTTATGTATTTAGGGTATAATACCAACATCATTAAGCCACCAGAGTCATCTGTGTGAGATGGGCAGCTGTATAAATCAAATTGCTCAGTCCATCATTCATACAGTAGAAACATACAACAAAGTGTACAATTTGACAGCTTCAAGTAATGTATAGCTTCATTTTAAGAATAGATAATGATAAAAAATGACAGTAGTTTGACCTGACATATATGTGTTTTCTCTTAAATCTAGAAGGCTTTTAAATCTTAAACCTAGAATATGACCAGTGTAACTTTATGCAAAGTAGTAACAGTATTATTATTGGCAGGTGGAAAAGTATCATTGTGATTAATTTTGTTTTCTTTTCCCATCCTTAACTGGGCAAGTCTGAATATTGAAAATTGTTCTGTTTTACTTTGAGAAGATTCATCTCAACTGTATAATTTTTATGTAGATTGAAATTTTCCATGTTAATGTTTTGCAGCACAAACTGCAGTTTGGTACCACCTTAGAGACTAATACATTTTTATGCATATGCTTATACAGAAATCAAGATGTCATGAGATTCATCATTATACATTATTAAATATGTAATATTAACTATTAAATGCCTATTTCCTGTTACAATTAACAAAGGCATTTTCATTATTTTATATTACATTTATGCTTCTGAATTTGATGTTGTAATGACATGTTTCTCAACTTTGTCATAGGATGCCCTTATAGTTTACAAAGAGGCGATACAGAAAATGCCAAGACAGTTTGCACCACAGAGTTTATATAATATGATGGGTGAGTCTAAGCAAACATCTAAAAATATTTGTGTTAATTTTCTTGCACATAATTTTGTATTTCTGCCAATATTGGGCATTTACCAAAGAATTTCATTTATTATGTTTTTGGCTCTGATTAAATCTTCAAGCTTTACATTTGTAGCTTACCCCATATCACCATAGACAGCTTCAAATGTATAAATGAGAACAATTAATGAATAAAAAAGTCTGTGTAGCTTTTCTCTATATATTCATAAAGTGCTGTGAACAAGGAAAAACAAATTTAAAATAATACATTATTATCCAAATATAATCCAGATTCTAAAAACAGATAAGGTTTGCCAAATATTTTCAAACAATTGTTTCATAGCCACAATATGGGCACTAAGAATGGCTTTTAAAAACTAATTTATAGCTGGTTAAAGACTTACTAATTCACATAGGCTAAAACATGTCTTTTACACCTTGGTGCTAAGACTACAATAATTCCAAACTCACATGGCCAAAGAGAATTGCAGTAACCCAGACTCAATTGTGCCATCTTCTCTCTTTCTCTCCCTCCCTCTCTCCCTTCCTCTCTCCCACTCTCTCTCTCTCCTTCCCTCCCTCAGCCTACTCCCTACCCTCCCCCTTCCCTCCCAGTCCATTTTATCCAAATAATTGTACAAATAATCCAGCATGTTGAAAATCTTCATTTAAATTTTAAATGGGTTAATAGTTTTTTTTTAAACAAAGCTTTCTCTTTGAATTATCATAATGGCTATAAGAATCACACATTAATGAAGATTTTGTGACATATAAATGTATGCAAATTTTATTGGACAGCCATTTCGGCACCAAGCCCAACTTCCTGTTTAATGTGAAAATAAAACTTCTTGTTTTGGCTAGCCAAAAACTTTTTGCTCGTCAGTAAGTTTCATGTACCAATTGATTATGTCCACATATTTTGGCTGTCTCACACTTCATTCCCCACAAAATGGTTAGGGTTATTAATCAATGGATGACAATTACTCCTGTAGAGAATTTATGTACCTACACTGTAATTCCAACAAGGATCCAACACTAACCAATTATGCCTGTGGAATAGGTTTTTACATAAGCAAAGGACAAAAAAAAGAACAAGCTCCCAAAAGTCCTATAAAAGGTGAAAGTTCCCCTTGCACAAATGTGCTAGACATTTCCTGCTTTAGGGGTTGGTGCTCATTTCTGTTACAAAGCTGAAGAGCCAGCGCTGTCTGAAGACGTCTCCGTGGTCATGTGGCTGATACAACTAAACGCGAATGGCACACAAAACAATGTTACTTTCCCACCAAAGTGGTCCCTATTTTTCTACTTGCATTTTTGCATGGTTTCAAACTGCTGGCTTGGCAGAAGCTGGGACAAGTAACGGAAGCTCACTCCATTATGCGGTACTAGGGATTCGAACTGCCAAACTAAACTGCCAACTTTTCTGATCGACAAACTCAGCGTCTTAGCCACTGAGCCACCATATCCCTTCCTGGATACTTTAGTTTCTCCTTAAATATATCCAATAAAGGAAAGACCATGCCTATTAGCAACTGGTTTCACGTTCATACTGCTCTTATTGTTAAGGGTTTTTTTTTTTTACATTTAAATTGAATTCACCTAATATATCCAATAATTGAAATAATTTCTCACTAACAGAGGTTGAACCTATTGAACAGATGAATAAAAATCCTATGGTACAAAAGGGAAAAAGAAATTCTGGCTACTAGTCATCTTGCTTTTGTATTTTTTTAGAGAATTGAAATCTTCTTTCTTATAGAACAGTGGTGGCTAATCTTTTTCAGCTCCCGTGTCAATAATTGCACGCGCTTGTGTGCCAGCACCCAGAAGGCAATGTGTGCTGGCCTCCCCACGTGCCCTGCACATGTGTGCATGACCTCCCTCATGTGCTGCACATCTGCGCATGCATTTCCCCCTTGTGCGCCACGTGTCTCTGCACATGCACATGTGATTCCCCCTCTCACATATGCGCATGCGCACGTGATTCCCCCTCATGCGCAGCGCATCCCTGCACATGTGTGCATGTCTGCCACACACATCCCTCCGCCCCCTGCACATGCATGCCAGATACCCGACAATAAGCTTTCAGACAGAGGCACGCGCATGCACAGTGGATCTCTTCCAGGTGATGTTTCACGTGCCGAGGGAAATGGCTCTGTGTGCCACTTCCGGCACGCATGGCATAGATTCGCCAACATGGTTATAGAAAATGCCAAAATTAGTTATCAATCAATATAATATTCCTCTATATTATATTGCTAATAAAAATTAAACTTTGTGAGTTTTTCTCGAGTCAAAGCATGATAGAACTGAGTAGACTGAAATACCATAAAGAATTGTATAAACTAACATTTTTTTAGTACAGCAATTGCTGATTAGGAAGTTACCATCTATTTTGTTTCCTTGATTCATGATGATTTTCCCAAGTCTTGATTTTCCTGGAAAACTTTACTGAAGAAAGCTTATGCAAGAAATGTTCTTCACACAGAGATCATCTGGTTTAGACTTCGTTTTTGTCTTTACTTATGAGAAAAGTAATTAAGCACAAAGTAATAGAATAATGACAGTATATCTGAATTAAGTACAATAAATAAATAAATCTTTTAAAGTATAAGGTTTTATCTGTTACTAATTGGAAACATTTCAACTATTAATCATATTTGAAAACAGTAGGAGTTCTTTCATATTGATCCTTCTGGATATTGTAGGCATTTTTATGGGATGAAGTGTGAAATTTTAAACATGTGAATGTTCATCTAACTTAACACAGCTGTTTTGTGGTAGTTTTGCTCCTGACAGTTAGAGCAAGCCAGGCTGATTAGTCTCCGAGAAATTATAAGACTCTCTTGACTCATGTTATCACTAATGCAATTTCCATCCATATTAAGCTTCTTGGAAAATCCAGTTTTATTGTTGTTATCCAGTCTTATGTTTCAAAGATAAGCATCCACAAACATCTATTGGGAATTTTCTCCAGACATACAATTTATATTTAAAGAAGTCAATGATAAAAATCTTAATCTTAAAAATTCTTAATCTATATTTGTTTTACGGCAAGTTGACTCAAGGTTTTTAAGAGATATTTATGTGAGATGTTTATATATTATAGTAATATCATACATATTCTGTTGGTAACATTCCACTACATAATAATAAAATAATAATATACTACTATGTAATATTACATATGCCACATAAATTATAAATATAAATTAATTTGTATTTTATTTTATAAACACACATATATGTATTTATATATTAATATGTAAAATACATAAATTGCTTTTATCAGTTGTATGTTCTATTAATATATTTTATAGTTTCCTATTCTGCTTTGTAGGAGAGGCCTACATGAGACTTAGCAGATTCTCTGAAGCAGAACATTGGTATGTGGAATCACTGCACTCTAAAACTGATCACATTCCAGCTCATCTCACATATGGGAAACTTCTTGCTTTAACGGTAAGAAAACTACCTGGAAAATAGCAATTTTTTAGCAAGAGAAAAACAATCCTATCTGTCACATATTTGTCACATACATACTCATCTCACTATTTCTTTGCATAAAATATTACACTAACATCAGTAAATCTCTTTTTTCCTATTCTATTCAAGCTAGGATCTCTATCTTGAGATCACCTTTGGAAACCATTCAGTTGTTCACAATCCATCTACTAGGGAGATATATAAAATAAACGATATTGACAGATTTAAAATGTATACTATTTGTCAGTATTTTCCTATATCTTTCTTCAAATTTCTGTCCTTCCATATTCCTTAGACTACCAGAAGATTTAGGCCATATTAGGGAATTCCTTACCTCTTTAGGGTGAGAGCCAGTGTATTGTTGTGGTTAGGGTGCTGCAGTAAGTGCAGGTATACTCAGATTGTAATCCCCCCATAGCCATGGAAACCAACTGGCTGATTTGGGACAGTCTTTCTCAGCCTTAGACATGGAAGCCCCCAAAATCTATCAAGTTGTTTTTTCCATATGTGGTAGCAATGTATATAGGTCAAAAAATACTGAAAGAAAATACAGAGATGGCTTTTTGAGATTACAAAATATAAATTGAATTTGGAACCCAAAACATTTTTATTAGGTATGATCAAGGGGAATTTGAGTAAAGATAAAAGATACCTTATTGTACACATCTTAACTGCAGCAAGAATCACGTTAGCACAAAATTGGAAGAATGATAAAATACCACCAGATGAAGTTTTGATTCAAAAAATAATGGACTGTGCTGAACTAGATAAATTCACTATGGAACTGAAAGGCAAAGAGGATAGAAATACTATGCGACATGGGAGAGGTGGTACGAATGGGTGAAGGATAAGGATACAAATAATGTATAGTCACAAAATAAGAAACATGTATATACAATGACACAATAACTGTTAATGGAAATGAGATTTTTGTATTTTTTGTTTTTAAAGAATAATTTTTTTTTTTAAAGATCTACCAAGTTGCACTGAACTAATGTAGTCAGTAAAGAGACTTTCATCCTTCAGTGAATTAGTTCAGGATGGTGATGCATCTATAATACACTAAATTAGGAATGGCTTTTCCAACTGAAACAGTAGACAAAACGTATGTTGAGGTTATCTGGGTATTATCTGGGTAATTTGCTGTCTTTCTAGTTTTTCTTTATATGTGAATTAGCCTATTTTGTTCTTTGATAATTAAATAGTAATTACAATGGTTTGGGTTTTTTTTTTTTTGCCCTAATACTCTGAACAAAATGTTCCACTCCTTTTAATTCATTTAAATGTAAAAGACCCGTGTTTCATTTTCAGTATGATATATATTATATTGCTACTTAAAAATTTTGCCTACTTCTTTTGAAAAATGTTGTTTATTGATTTGTTGCACTTCAAAATATTATATTTTTTGTTCACTGTTTCTTACACTTGCAAATAATGCTACTTTCATCATTTATCTGAAGCTTATGGGACAAGTCCCCATCTTCATATGTAGAACCATAAGCTTGTCTTACACAGTAGGGTTGTTTTGCTAGTGTTGCTTATTTTGTTTTTTTTAGAATATAAATTTTATCTGATTCTATATTGCATCTGTCATTTCCTTGGATTTATAAAGATTTAAGTTTGATTAAAATCTACAGTATATATTTTAGGCTAATATGTAGAAAAGGAAGATAGAATAATGTGTTTTAAAATACTAAATTTGATTAAATCTATACTATAGCAGAATGGTAGGTGAAACTATAATTTTCACTGTATGTAGTCAGCTGCAAAAAAAAACTTTGTAAGCCAGGTATTATAAATTTATTTGTAAAAATGTATTTTTGCTGCAAGGGTAAGTGAATGAAAAATTAGTGGTTAAGCTATAGGGATGAGAGCCAATATAGTGGTATAGTGGTTAAAAATACAGGACTAGAAAATGGGAGATCATGAATTCTAGTCTTGCCTTAGGCAGAAACCAGCTGGGTGATTTTGGGACAGGATTCTCTCTCAGCTGCAAAAAAAAAAAAAAAAAAAAAAAGGAAAGGAAATTTAACTAAAAAAAAATGTTTTCAAGAAAATTTCAAAAAAGGGAAGGAATATTGATTTGAAAGCATAAAAAGGTGCTGTACGCTTAGCCAGATGAATAATTAGAAGATATTGTAGAACAGTGGTTTTCAACCTGTGGTCCATGGACTGTGAGGCCTTAAAAAAATGGTATGATTTAAATCTTGAGTCTTGGGGATCCATAGCCATAGTCTGTGGTCACAAAAGATATTTAAAGGAGGTCCATGGTAAAGAAAAGGTTGAGAACCATTGTTGTAGACAATCCTGAGCTGTTCATCTACAGAATTGTATCCGGCAATTTCAGTGTAGATGCTAGAATAATTATCAGTCCTGAATTCCTAATATGAATTTAATATGAATGAATTGCTTACAGCTAAAAATTACGGGGGATGACAAATTTGTTATGGCATATCTGTTGCGGATTGAAAAAAACCGTAGAACCATTTATACAATTCACAAATGTAAATAATAAATGCATCAAGAAGATGCCGCAAGACTTGGTCTTCTGAAGAGACTGACACATTATGACCTATTTTATGTCTACCCTGTTAGATGCCAGAGGAGTGACAAGTTTCCTATGATGGTGATTTTTTTTCTTTTTACACCATTTAAGTCATGACTTCATATATTGTCAGTGTGTAATTGAAGAAGACTGTTATAAATACCTGTGCTCGAATTGTATGTTTGGGGATAACTATACCCGACACTTAATGCTTCTTTGCATTTGACCTCATTATCCTTAAAAAAAACCAAATTGAAGCTTCCAGGGAAGTTATAATTATGGGATTAGAGCATGATTGGAAGGAAAAACTCTTTTCTTCCCTGCTTGAGTCTTGAAAAACAAATCTATTTTTGGAAGTGGTTTTGGATGCCTATAACTAGTGCTAACACCAATTTTTGACAAAAGATTTTAGTCTCAACAATAAGGACATTTAGATGCGTCCTGGGCTCTTGTGACTTTTCCATTACTTAAAAAGGTATATTTTGGTCATAAAGAATCCATTGCAATAATTAAATCCATGTTGCTTTTTGTTTATTTAAAAACATTCCTTTTGAACTCATTGGTTCAATAGCTGAAACTAAGCTATTGGTAGCAGCATCTTCCCCCTCATTCTTCTCCCTTTCCGCTCCTCTTTGTTATCTGAACCTAATTACAATTTTCCACAGGATTAGATCCAGCTAATTACATCCTCATTATAAACTACGTATTTCTGCCAAAGGAGAAATTTTGACATGGGGTCAAAAAAAAAAATATTCCCATCATTTTTTCCTGATGAATATTTGAAGAAGATTATAGTTCAGACATGTTTCAAAGAACCAAAGTTTCCCAGGTATAAGATACCGATCTGATGTTGGTTTCCTGTTAAATATGAGTAGTACTTCATTTATTTAAATGGCTCAGATACACATAAACAGCTGTTTAAGCATATATATTTTCGGAGGAAACCATGAACAAAACAATATCCAGAATAAGAATTTTCTTAATTTAGTAGATACAGTATTTGGAGCAATAGGTCTTTCTCTCTCTCTCTCCCTCCCTCCCTCCCTCCCCCTCTCTGCCCCCACATGCCTGCCTGCCTGCTTGCCTCAAGGCTATTTTGGCAGAACACATTTTTAAATGCAACTGTCACACTTAAGCTTAACCTTGTCTATATATGTGCCTTGCTTGCCTGAAAAGATTTTTTTTTTTTAAGTGAAAAACGTTGTAAACTGAGTTAGATTTTTTAAAAAGGTACAAGTATTACCTGGAAGCATATGTGGATTTTTATAAGATTATTCAAAACTGATTTTACTATATTAACCATGCCAATTATGATCAAAATGCACACACATACACACTTGTAGGGATCCAATCAGGAAACAGTACAAATATATCCTGGCCCTTCCTCCTGCATTCCCAATTGCTTGTATTTGAAATATCAATTTCTCCCACTCATTAATGCAACATTCAGATAAGGAACATATGGTTTTAATCAAGACCATAACAGGGGATATAGAGTTAAATTTTATATTCCTCTTCTATTGGAATCTATCATCTTTTTTCACTAGAATCATTAACACTTCCCAATGCTTGCTTGGAAGTAAACAAAAAGAAGTATCTATTTCAGGGGTGTCAAACTTGCGGCGTGTGTCATGTGCTGGCCCCGCCTCCGCCTGGTTTAGCAAACGGGGAAATCGTATATTTCATATGACTCCACCGTGTTGCCGTGAGTTGGACACCCCAATCTATTTCCTTACTTGTGCTCAGATATCTGAATCTGAGCTTGAGTGGAGTAAAAAAGTGGGTAGTAAAGATAAGAAGATAGATAAAAGGATGGATGGTACCTTCATTACCATTATTAAGATAGAATTGCAGGATGTATTCAAGAGGAAAATAAATGTGTGAACTAATTTGTATTTAATCACAGGAACCTTCTCATGTTACATTAAATGCATTTTGTGAATAGATGTTGCTATTGTTAGCTTTCTCATAAATGAAAGATAATTAATAAGGCAGATACCTAAACTAGATATATTAATTTAAAATCAAAAGGGGACTCTTGTACTAATGTTGAATAAATACATGGTAATGAATTATGCATATTTATGAAGCCATAAAATCCCACACTGTGTAACTCTATGCAGAAACTACTACTGACTACCCTGTAAGTGTTAAAATCTATTTCTGTTAATGTGTAATAACTAGTGAAAATATTTTCTATCTCTTAGTATTCAGAAATAACATTAGAACTTGAAAAGCATAAAAATAACAGTGGTCAAGCAATCATCAAAAATGTGCAGTGGTATTAACAATATAACTATATTTAAGTCTGTTTGAAACTTGTTTAAAAGGGAACAAAATTTAACTCTGAATCCATGAAATCTATATTTCCTGTAGTACAAAAATGATATCGAAAAACATGCCTGTAACATACTTACATTGTTGTTTTATT